ACCTGTGGCTCACATCTAAAATCCTAGCTACTTAGAAGGCAGAGATCAAGTGGATTACAATTGGAAACCAGCCCTGGACAAATAGTTCGTGAAACCCTATCTTGAGAAAAATCCATCACAAAAAAAGGGCTGGCAGAGGGATTCAAGCGTTAGGAGTGCCTGCCTAGCAAGTGTAACGTCCTGAGTTCAAACCCCAGTACCTCACAAAAACAAAGCCCTATTGCAATTGAACATGGTGATACATGCATGTAATCCCAGTACTTGGGAAGCCAAAGCAGAAGGATCCAAAAAGACAAATAAACCAGCCAGAGACAGGAATCAGGAGGATGGTGGGGGAGGGGGAGATAAAGGAGAACAGTGGAGGGTGTGAATTCAAGTATGATATATTTGATATATTGTAAGAAATTTTATAAATGCCACAATGTACCCCAACCTAGCACAACAATAAATAAATGTATAAATAAATAAATTAAATAAATAGAATCAGGAGGATGGTGGTTTGAAGCCAGCCCAGCCAAATAGTTTGGGAGCTCCTATCTCAAAAAAATCCAACACAAAACAGGGCTGTTTGAGTGACTCAAGTGGTAGAGCACTGAACTAGCAAGTCTGAGCCTTGAATTCAAACCCCAGGACCACAAAAAGGAAAAAAAAAAAAATCCAAATAAAACAAACCAAAATCTATAACATGTGTCATACACAGGAAAATTTCATGCTTCTCAGGTGTCATAATTGATAGTTTGTACTTGGTTTGATACATACATGTAAATAAATGTATCTTACATTTTGAAATTGTTTTATTATTTGCACAGATTCATTGTACAAGGCAATAGAGTTCATACATACGTATAATGTACTTGGATCAGATTCACCCCCATTGCCCTCTCTTACTCCCCTCTCTGCTTTCCCAATGCATATATTAAAACCACACAAAAGAACATCTGCTTATTTTATTAGCCACTGATAGCATTTGCCATCTGCTTTTCCTACCACAGTATAAACCTGTGAGGGCAGTGTCCTTTCCTTTTATCTTTTTTTTTGTTAGCACTGGGGTTTGAAATCAGGGCCTCATGCTTGCTAGTTCAGTGCTCTACCACTTGAGCCATTCAGCCACTCCTGTTTTGTGTTGCGTTTTTCAAGATTGGGGCTTCTGAACCACTCCACCACTCCTGAGCCACTCTGCCAGCCTGAGGGCAATGTCCCTGTTTGCTTTTGTCCTCTACAGTCTCCTATGCTGACCACATAATAGCCCTCAATATATTTTTTTTTCAGTACTGGGGTTTGAACTCAGGGCTAACAGCCTGAGCCACTCCACCAGCCCTTTTTTTGAAGGGCTTTTGCAAGATAGGATCCTTCGAACTACTTGCCCAGGCTGGCTTTGAACCGTGATCCTCCTGATCTCTGCCACTTGAGTAACTAGGGTTACAGGCGTGAGCCATCACTGGTACCAGGCTACCTCAGTCCATTTTTATTCCATAAATGAACGGGAGATTAAGTTATGATTATTTTTCAAACTTAAGCTAGATGGAACTTAAAGCACTAGAATGGTAACATCACAAAAGCAGTAAGCAGGGTTTTTTTTGACTACTAAATATTTATGAGAAATTTTAGAAAAATTGTATTAGGTATTCCAGCCCCAAAAGGAAAAAAAAAAAAAAAACTTGGTTACTCCATTTTATATTTGAGAAAACAAAACCCAAATTAATTGTACTTTACTCAAGGTTGCTTATAAATAATCAGAACTCCAGTCAGCTTGACAAAGATATATTTGGCATTTTGCAGCATTCAAGACCTCGGTAATATCATTTCTGATTCTCCTCAAATATTTTAAATTAAATTGTACTAATCCATTTAGAATGTCAGCTAGACTATTTTTTTTTTAATAGTCTGTGTAAATCTTTTAAAAAATGTGTGCCCTAAGCCAGATGTGGTGGTACAAACAGGTAGTCCCAGCGTCAGGGAGACTGAGGCAGGAGGATCTTGAGTTTCAGGCCAGCCTAGGCTATATAGGGAGACCCTACCTCAAGGGGAAAAAAAAGGGGGGTTGACAGAGTTACTCAAGTGGTAGAGCACGTGTCTCGCAAGCTGGAGGCACTGAGTTCAAACCCCAGTACAACCAAAAAAAGAAATACTAAGGAGACTGAAAATTCATAAATCACAAACCCATTGTATATTCAGGATTAGATATCTCAGTGCTACAGTTTGCACTTAATTTAGAACTCCAATTTCATTGAGAAAAGAAAGATGATTCAATATGCACTTTCATTTTTTGAACCTCTACCTTTTTTTTTTTTTCTGCCGTACTGGGGATTGAACTCAGGGCCTTTACCTTGAGCCACTCCACCAGCCCTTTTTTGTGAAGCGTTTTTGAGATAGGGTCTCATGAACTATTTGCCCAGACTGGCTTCTGATCTCTGCTTCCCGAGTAGCTAGGATTATAGGCATGAGCCACCAGCGCCTGTCTGAACATGCACTTTATGTATAAACCTCAACTCCTAAGTCTTCTAAGAGCGAGGTAAAGAACTGAAAAGTCATTGGCTGGCAGTGTGGCTTAAGTGGTAGAGCTCCTGTCTACCAAGCATGAGGCCCTGAGTTCAAACCCCAGTACCCTATTGATCAATAAATAAAATATTTAAAAAAAAATTGAAAAGTCATACTGGGTGCCGGCTGCTCACGACTGTAACACCTAGATACTTGGGAAAGGCTGAGATCTGGAAATCACAGCCAGCCTGGGCAAATAGTGAGACTCCAACTGCAAAATAACCAGAGCAAAATGCACTGGAGGTGTGGCTCAAGTGGTAGAAGGCCTGCATGAAGCTGAGTCCAAACCTCAGTCCCACCTCCCTGCCCTCCCCCACCCCCCCAAAAAAAAAGAAAGAAGAAGAATTGAAAAGTCAAAGCCAATAGTCCTGCTGAGGATCTCAGTCCTCATTTCTGAGACCCACGTTCCTTCTTTGTCCAGTGGGCCTGCTGAAAAATGACCTGAACTTTCTTCTCTACTTCTAGGTCCCATTTACTTCCTTCTTCTGTCCTTGTATTTCTACCTAGTGAGCAGATTACCACCACCTTTCCGGATGAGGATCATCTCTTATTCATCATTTTAGGGCAAGTAATGTAGGAAACAAAATAAACAAAAGAACATGGGAAGACTGAGGTAGGAGGATTAGAGCTGGAGGCCAGACTAGGCTACGTAGTGACACCTGCCTGAAAACAAGAAGGGCACCAGTGTCTCACAGCTATAATCCTAGCTACTCAGGAGGATCACAGTTCAAAACCAGACCGGGCTCTCGAAAAACCCATCATTAAAAAAGGGCTGGTGCAGTAGCTCAAGGTGTAGGCCCTGATTCAAACCCAGTACCAAAGAAAACAAAAACACACTACTTATTTATCTTTTTTGCAGTGCCTTGGTATTGAATGTCTTGTCCATGCCAGGCACCCTACCACTGAGCTACATTTCTAGCACTGGATATTTTTTGAGAAAGGGTCTCACTAAGTATCCCAGGCTGGTCTTGAACTTAACATCCTCCTGTCTCAGTTTCCAAAGTGATTACAGACACCCAGCAAAAATACAGGATAAAGGAAAGCTTGAATCCCACAATCACTGCTAAACATAGGAAATCCTTTCCTTTCACAGCCCTGATTGGATAGATTGACAGGGAGGAGTGATCTGAAGTGGGCCTTTCAAATTACTGTATATTAGAGAGATTCTTGAACATGTTTGGAAGTCACTATGTTAGGTGCTCACTTAACTGTGAATTCACACAAGTAGCCAGTAAAATTTTGTACAAACTTTTGTCACTTGCAAAATGGGTAAAAATAATGACTGAATTTTAACCTAGAATTCGGTGCATAACGAATACCTTAATTTTTTTTTTTGCAGCACCATTGTACAAACTCAAGGCCTCACACTTGCTAGGTAGAGGCCCTTACTGCTTGAGCCACTCCACCAGCTCTTTCCTGGGATGAGTTTTTTTTCCAAGATAGGGTCTTGTAAACTAGTATTTGTTCAGGCTGGCTTCAAACCTCAATCTTCCTGATCTCTGCCTCCTGAGACTCTAGGATTATAGACATGAGCCACCAGCCTGGCCATAAAAAATACTTTAAAAAACTATTATTAGGGGCTGGGGATGAAGCTCAGTGGTAGAGCACTTGCCTAGCATGGGCAAGGTCCTGGGTTTGATCCCCAGCACCACAAAAAAAAAAAAATAATAAGAAAAACAAAGACAACAAAAAAGGGAATTATTATCAGTGCAGATAGAAAGCTGAAATTTTTTTTTCTTCCTTTGCCAGTACTGGGGTTTCAACTCAGGGCCTTGTGCTTACTAAGCAAGCTCTCTACCACTTGAGCCATGTTCCCAGTCCCAAAAGTTGGAGTTTAATGGACAGAGAGCATAGTTTAGTGGTAAAGCACCTTCCTAGCATGTGGAAGTGAGGCCCTAGATTCTATCTCCTGAACCACAAGAACTTAAAAAAAAGAAAAAAAAGTTTTCTTTCATCAAGTTCTAGTCCTTGAATTCTACAGTTTCCACAGATTTCATTAAATTCACTCATACATCCTGTTCAGAAGTTTCTAGCAACTTTTGCTTTTCCATTAAAAATATTGTGAAAGCACTGGAAGCATGGCTCAAGCAGTAGAGCACCTTCTTTGTAAACTCAAAGCCCTGAGTTCAAACCTAAGTTCCACCAAAAAACAAAAACAAACAAACAAAATATTTTCAGTTTCCCAATGCATTCTTGAGCCATACTTTGAATATGAGTTAAAAGTTCACAGAAAAAAGACCAGGAATCACATTACTAATTCAACCATACAACCATCCCCTCATCAGTAAGCAAACAACACAATTTTAACATTCACAAATTGTGGGGGAGGGAAGAAAAGGGGAGGGGAAAGGAAGAGGGCCTTTGTTTTACAGGAAGTGGGAGGAGATTTCTCAGTGCTCTTGGGCCAGAGGCCATTTTGGGAGCCAGAAGAGATTTGTCAGTTTCAAGTTCCTTTCCTGAGCATGGAGAATGCAAGAGGCAAAGAGGTAAATACAGTTTTAGTAGGTTTGTTTTCTGTCTGTGGGTCTGCTGTTTGTCTCTCTTGAGCACATTTGGTCCTTCTTTTGGGAGGAAAAAAAAATGTGGTATAGAATTTCTTCTCTTGTTTAAAAAAACAAAAAGATCTGGGGTTGTAGCTCAGTGGTAGAGCACCTGCCTAGCATGCGTAAGGCCCTTCGTTCACTTCTGAGCACTTGGGGGGAAAAAACAGATGTAAATTAGAAATTGGCTTTTTCTCCTTTAAACCCTCCATACTGGGTTTGAAGTCAAGGAGTTGAGCTTCCTAGATGGACACTCTACCACTTGAGCTACAACCCCAGCCCTAGATGTAAATTTAAGATTACAAGGAATGAGGGTCCATGTTGTCATTTTGAACGGAAGCTTTGTCTTGTCAGAAAGAAATCTCAACTATCAGGACTGAAGGGAAGTGGTCATAGAAGAGGGGAGAGAAAAGGTGGGGCAAGTTAAAGATCTTAGGAGATAATTGAGTTGAGGCTGGGAAAGAACAACCCCTTAAAGAATCAGAGCCAAAGAAGCTGCAGTGTCGGTTCTCCTTTCTGTCTCCCAGGGTCCTCAGACCTGAGAAATGACAGGAAGCCAGACCTTGTGACAAGCAATCTTAGCTCTGGCTACCAAGGCTCAGGAAACCTGAGCACTGCCTGGGCCTCTTTCCCAGAATCCTCCATTTTTGGCTTTCCCAGTTTGAAGACTTGAGAGGCCCAAAAGGTGAATAGTTTTGTGAAAGTTATGCAAATGTAAAGTTTGAATATAAATGTGAAAGTGATACAGAGATGTAAAAGTGTCATACAAATGTTAATTTGTCCTATACCCCCGCCCTTGGGGGTGACTGGAAGGAACTTGGATTTGGGAGTAAATTGACCTAGGGTTTAGTTTATCTCTAGTGTGCCCTTAACCTGTATGTCCTTAGCCATGTAACCGCTGAGCTCCAGCTTTGACATTTTAAAAATAAAGTAACTTTAGTTGTGAGATTGCTATAAGGATTAAATGAATGAAAGCAAGGAACATGTCAAACTCGATACCTGCTATAAGATAGAAGCCCAATACATATCACTATCCCTTTGTTCCTTTTGATTAAATTAACCAGTATTTATTGGGTGCCTACAATGCAAGGGAAAGAAATTCCACCTTGTGGAGTTTACTGATCAAATAGCAGGAGCACGTATGAGATTGCACCCGACAAGTATTGGGAACAAGGCAATCTATGGTAGACTTGACTCTCTGCCTGAAAGAACTGGAAAGCCTTCTCAGCAAAACAACACTTGATGTGAGACTGAAGGAGGAGTAAGACCTAAGGCTATGAGTAGAAGTGGGTGGAGGCTCAGGGATGTTACTGCAGGCCATGTTGATAACTTTGGAAAGAAAAGGAATTGAGTGACCCTGTGACAAACTTGGGTGATGGAAAGCAATATGAGATGAAGGGGGGGGAGGGTAGAGGCTAGTAGGTCATGTTTTTCATGCTAAGAGCAATCAAATTATGGGAAAATAATTTATTTGGAAGGGGTAAAGAAAAAAAGAAGGGGGGAAAACCTTCCAGGTGAAAGATGATAGATGTGGTGGGTGGTAGAAGGGCATCTTCCCCCAAGACAGACTGTTTTCTTCTACTTTTGTTTATGTCTATACTTTCTTTTATTATTATTTTTTTTTTAATTTATTCATATGTGCATACATTGTTTGGGCCATCCCCCTCCCTGGCCCCCCGCCCTGTATCTGTACTTTCTATCTTTACTTGCACATTTTTTGGTTTGTTTGTTTGTGTGTGTGTTGAGACAGGATCCTTTTACGTAGCCCAGGCTGCTCAGCCTCCCAAGTGTTGAGATTACAGGTGTGCACCACCACACCTGGCTTTTCTTATACTTACATATTGTCATCTTTCCATATCCCCATCATTGCTTCCCTGTCTTATTAAGATGATACCCAGAGGAGAATTCACACTGCCAGCCAGGTGCAGAGGTGCTTGGGGGCCTTTTATATGTTAGCTTAAAGCAAGTAGGATAAGTGCTATTCAGAAACCAGAGCAATGAGTAACCAGCTCCTCTGTCCCCAGTGGAGCTGCTCAGAGAAGTCGAAGGAAGAAGAGGAACAAGGGCCTGCTCAACCAAGCACATCTTCTACAAAAGCCTCAGCGAAGGGGAAAAAACGAGCAAAACCAGTGGGAAATGACAAGGGTAAGAGGTTTACAAATCCTCTAATCCTACTTCCTCAGATCTAACCAATCTGAGGAATTTTTCTGAAGGTATAGAGAAAGCAGAGAAGAAATTTCCATTCTGATTCTGCTAATCCTAAACTTCCTGTGGGGGTGGGGGATCACCTGCAAAAACTGATTCCTTACTGTCACCAAACTCCCACAACACACTTGGTTCTTTCTGCTAATAATTTTGCCTTCACTTGCTGCTTGGAGTTGAAGGTCTTAATATACAATGATCTGGGGACACACAGCTCTAAATCTGAAATCCCATCCTTGAAACTCCACTTCCTATTCTAAAAATAAGTGAGGATAACCTAACCTTGACCAGAGATGGGGATGGGGTGGTATGGACAGTCATTGGTAATTTGCATAGAATAACTTAGTAAACTCTAGTGATGCTTAGTGTCCTGACAGTGGCCTGTTTTGGAGGTGTGTTCAGGGAATCTTTACTGCTGTGTGAGGCACAGCAGTAGTAGGATAGACAGGTGAGACAGCTAGCTACAGTGAGACAAGAGAGCTACCCTGACTGGGGTGGGCCTGCAGAATTAATTGGTATTAGTGGTTGTGTATATAACATTGTGGGGTGGGCATTTTATTCTGTGGTGAGAGAACAAGGTGCCAATGAGGTGTTTTTTTTGTTTTGTTTTGTTTTTTTGTGGGGGGGCAATGTCTTATATAGCCCCGGCTGGCCTCAAACTCACAATCCTCCTACCTCAGCTTCTTCAATGCTGGGATTACATGTATATATCACCACACTGGACCTAAGATTTGTTTGTGATGGGATGGGAGTGTGGCTCAAGTAGTAGAAAACCTACTTTAAAAGCTTGAAGCCCTGAATTCAAATTCCAGTCCCTCCAAAAAAACCAAAAAATTGTGTGTGGTTGTAGGATTGAACTCAGGACCCCACGCATATTAGGCACTCTGTGATCAAGCTCTAGCCCAATACCACTGAGTACTTATGACCTTAAGTCTAAGAGTTCAGTTATTCCCTGAGATGAAATATAACCACCCGGATCGTGTGAGTGGAAGGCCCCAGTGTGTGTGAGGAGTGGGGAGCTTCAGGAAGTTAAACTGAGCATTTTGAAGTAGTGAGTCCTAGGTTTGAAGTTCTGTCCCTTGTAGGCTGTGCGGTCTTTGGACATTTAATTGAACAATGGGGAAGTGGTCTGTAAGAACTGAAGGTGATTATACTTTTGAAATTCTGAAAAGCCACACAAAAGTTAATTATTACTAATTTTATTCCATTCTCCTTCAGGTTCCTGTTCAAAGGAAAATGCACAAGGTAGTGAGATACCAAAACCCCCTAAAAAGATACCAATTCCTCCCCTACCTTCTGAACTGCCACCTGTCAACTTGATTCATAGGGACATTTTGCGGGCCTGGTGCCAACAGCTGAAGCTAAGCAGCAAAGGCCAGGTGAGACCCACACGGAGCACTGCTGCTGGGAGGAAGAAGAGCAGAAGCCTTCCTTTCACTAACAACTCCTTTCTTTTGTCTTAGAAATTAGAGGCATACAAGCGACTCTGTGAACATGCTTACCCACAGCAAAAGGTAAGTAACTTTTCATTCCAGAGTGGGAGGTTTGGTTCTAATTACTTATTTTAACCTCAGAAAATGAGTAGAGGAATTATCTTAGTCCCTCCTTCCGCCTCCTCTCCTAGTTCTAACAGAAAACAATCTTCCTCTGTCCCCACTTCTACCCAACCCTACAAAGGATAATAAAAATTGAGGTCCTTTCACTGGGGGAGGGGAGGTTCTGGAAAAATAAGCCTAGGGGTTTGTGCCTGTAAAGTACCAGCTCCATCCCTGAGATCCACCCCCAGCCCATTTTTGTTTTAACTGACAAATTTGGGGGGTTTTTCCCAGTAACTTTTAAAATTAGGTTATGTTAGTTGTATAGGGGGGACTCATTGTGACAATTCCATATAGGCTTACATTGTACATTGGTTAGACCACCCCCACTGCCTTTTCCCCTTGACCTCCTAACTGCTCCATTTAAAATATTGCAAGAAGACTGGCTGAGTGGCTCAAGCAGTAGAGCACTTGCCTAACAAGCATGAGGTCCTGAGGTTAAACCCCAATACTACCAAAAAAATCAAGTTTAGCCAGGCACCAGTGGCTCACACCTGTAATGCTAACTACTTAGGAGGCAGAGATCAGGAGGGTTGTGGTTTGAAGCCAACCCCAGGCAAATAGTTCTCAAGACCCTATCTCAAAAAAAAAACCCTTCACAAAAAAGTAGGGGAAGGGGGGGACTTGTGGAGCAGTGGAAGGTATAGTCCCTAAGTTCAAACCCCAGTATGGCAAAACAAAAAAACCCCCACAATTGCAAGAGGTTTCTTTGTTCTATTTCGTATATGAAGCCTACCAACCATATACCCTCACCTTAATCTCCTCCATTCACTCTCTCCACTTCTACTAGTACCCCTCCCACACTGTACCTATTTAATAGTCCTGTCTTTCATTGTTAATATTTAAGTCAATGTTCAAAGGGGTTTCTCAGTGTGTCCCCTCTGTGAATCTACTTTACTTTGGTCTGATCAACCCCTTCCATTACTCTCCCTTACCACTTTACCTCCCACCCCCATTTTTCAACAGTTTTCAATATCCATCCTTATAGCCTCTACCTTCACAGATGTGATGTTTTATGATATTGTTGATATTGTATTTTTTTTTCTTTCTCTCTTTCCCTGAGTTCCATAGAGTAGTTCCTCTATTTCACATGTGAGTCAATGTTTGGGTCATTTCTCCCTGTGTATATGTTTATCTTTTGGATCTATCTTCTGCCTATGAGAGAAAACATGCAGCCTTTGTTAACTGACAAGTTTTTTATACCTATTCTTGTGAAATAGGCTTACATTGTGGAATGACTAAATTGAGCTAATTAACATATGCATTGCATACTTTTGTGGGGAGAACACTTAAAAATCTTTTTTTAAATTTTTATTTATTTATTTATTTATTTATTTATTGGCAGCACTGAGGATATTTTTAAGGTGAGGACTCATTAATGTTGCCTCAGTTCGTTTCCAACTCGTGCGCTCAAGTGATTCTCCTTTAGCCTCCTGAGTAGCTGGGACTATAAGCATGTCTCATCCTGTGAGAATGGTTAAAATTTATTAGCAGTTTTCCAGAATACAGAAACTGTATCCTGTCACTGGGTCCTTCTCCTAGCTTCTGAGCACTCAGTACCCCCATCGCCCCCTTTTGTTTTTTGACAGTACTGGGGTTTGAACTCGAGGTCACTCCACCAACCCTTTTTTGTGATGGATATTTTTGAGATAGGGTCTCACAAACTATTTGCCCAGGGTTGGCTTTGAGCCACAATCCTCCTGATCTCTGCCTCCTGAGTAGTTAGGATTATAGGCGTGAGCCACTGGGACCCCACCCACCAGTCCTGTTTTGTGTTGGGATTTTTTTCCGAGATAGAGTCTCTCAAACTGTTTGCCTGGGTTGGCTTCAAACTGTGATCTTCCTGATCTATGCCTCCTGAGTAGCTAGGATTGGAAGAGTGAGTGGAGGCCCACTTCTAATAGCATCTTAATCTCGCTCATTATCTCTTAACATTTCAGCACTGCTTGCAGAATATTCCTACCTCAGCAAAAGAGGCCAGGATGAAGACACCAGGTCAAAGAAAATCAAAGGCAGGCCAGGGGGAACCATCCCAAAAAAGCTCTAAGAAAAAGCTACCTTCTGAGGTGACTGCCCCGCCTGAGGTGGCCCCTGTACCTGAGGAGCAGTTGTCTGTTCTTGAAGACCCCCCTGTTCTCTATGAAGAAGTCAGTACTACTGTGGTGACCACATCTGCCCCTGAAGCAGTGTTGGCTTCCTGGGGTAGAATTGCAGCCAATGCTGGGAATATGGAGGCCCGGGAGACAGAGTTGCCACGAGTGGCCTATGGTAAGGAAGCCCAATGTAAAGAGATTGTTCTGGTTCAGTGAGCACATAAGCTCAATTTAAACTGACCTGTAATGATGTTAGCATGTATCAAAATCACCTCAAGGACTGGTGATTCCTGGACCCCTCTGGATGTTTTTTCTGATTCCTGTCTGGTGTCTGAGGATCCTCAGGCAATGCTGAGGGTACTGGTCCATGGACCACAGTTTGAGAAACACTGTTCTAAGTATGGATGGCATCAAGAGGGATAGATAGGTGTTTGGCTTCATTTCTTCCTCTTTTGAAGTAAAGGCAAGGTCTAAATTCAACTATATGGGTTTGAGCCCTACATCTCCTGTCATCTGTTGTGACATTAAGAAGTTCTTTAAAATAGTGCCCAGTTTCTTCATTGTAAAATAGATATAAAACTAATGATGTTTTATTAGCTGATAGGTGGCTCAAGCAGCAAGAGCAGGTGTGAGGCTCAGTTCAAACCCCAGTACCACCAAAAAAAAAAGAAAAGAAAAAATCATATATTATAAGAATTACAGGAAATGCTTAGGCCTTTAAGTTTGTGGTATTTGTGTGTGTGTGTTTAAGAGAGAGATGCTAGGGATTGAACTCAGGACCTCTACCACTGAGCCACATCCACAAATCTAAGGCCTTCTAAGTTTTAGTTCAAACTATTTTGCATACCCTTTTAGAAGGAAACAACAAGGATGAAGTTAACATCCAAGACTCATGTCTTGGGGCTGGCATTTGAGGAAGGTAGTAGGATCAAGAGTAGCAGGCCATGATATGTCTGAAGCCTAAGCACGTGGTCCTAGTGTATTCATATTAAATCTCTTTCCTTCTGTAGGTGACAGGTGGTGTGTGGTCCATGGGAGAAGTCTTCCTGCAAACACTGACGGTTGGGTTCAACTGCAGTTTCACGCTGGACAAGCCTGGGTACCTGAGAAGAAAGGGAGAGTTAGTGCTCTGTTCTTGCTTCCTGCCTGCACTTTTCCACCCCCGAACCTGGAGGACAATATGTTGTGTCCCAAATGTGTTCACAGGTAATTACCTGGTGCTTTTCTACCAACTAAAATTGGGCATCTCACTTAGGAAATATACACATTAATCTTTATTAATTTGCCTTTTTTTTCCCTTTCTTGAAGTTTTAACTTGTGCCAGGAACTGGTGGCTCATACCTGTAATCCTAGCTACTCAGGAGGCAGAAAACAGGAGGATCCTGGTTCAAGCAAGCTGGGAAAAAGTTCCCTAGATCCTATCTTGAAAAAAATCCATCACAAAAAAAGGGCTGGTGGAGTGGTACAAGTTGTAGACCCTGAGTCCAAGCCCCAGTACTGCAAAAAAAAAAAAAAATTAAGAAGTTACAGGGTTGGGGGTGTGGCTTAAGTGGTAGAGCACCTCTCTAGCAAGGATGGGGCCTTGAATTTAAGCGCCAGCACTGCTGCATTCATACATATATACACACATACATACATAAAACATTTTTTAAAAACACATAAAATTAAGACCTTAGGGGCTGGCCAAGTGGCTCCAGTGGTTAATAGCTCCTGCCTAGCAAGCACAAGGCCTGAATTCAATCCCTAGTACTGCCTAAACAAACAAAAGTAAACTAAGAATTTACCAGGCCAAGCATGGTGGCTCAGACTTACAATCCTAGCCATGAGGCCCTGAGTTCAAGCCCAATATCATCAAAAACTAAAAAGTAGTTACCAGAAATTTTATAAAGCCTGTAAAGATTTTATTTTATTCCAGAGTGCTCCTTTATTTAGTTTTTTGTTATTGTTTAGATTTATAGAAAACTAATTGAGGAAACTCATGTGGTGTCAAAGAAAACACACATAAGCAGAATTTTTCAGGAGAGGCCAAGGGAGACAGCTTAATGTTAGGCAGCTGTTTGTTTCTGGGTGATGGGCCACTAAGGAATATTAAATTGGGGCACTAAGGGTCGGGAGGGATGGCTCGAAAGGAAGAGCTCTTGCCTAGCATGTTCAAGGCCTGGGTTCAATCCCCAGTACCACAGAAAAATTAAGCTGGCTATATAGGTCAATTGTCCTAGTGTGCAGTATGCCTGAGTGTGATCCCGGAAACAAACTGATATTAAAATTCTCTCTTTTTTTTTTTTAAATTTTATTGTGTGGTGATAGAGCTTGAACTCAGGCCTTCACCTTGAGCCACTCCACCAGCCTGTTTTTTGTGATGGGTTTGTTCCAGAGAGGGTTTCGTGAACCATTTGCCGAGGCTGGCTTTGAACCACAATCCTCCTGATGATCTCTGCCTCCTGAGTAGCTAGGTTTGCAGGAGTGAGCCACCGGCACCCAGCTCTCTTCACCCTTCTCAAGTTTTATAGGAACCATCTTGGGTTTTGTGCCAAGCACTCTCTCTCTCTCTCTCTCTCTCTCTCTCTCTCGGTTGGCCCTCTTTTGGTCTCCAGATTACTGAACACCAGAGGTATAGGACATCTGGTAGAGGATAGGAACCAGAAGTGACTGAGGGAGACACAGTACTGTGGGTTCTGGCAGTTACAGTGTCCTTTGGAGGGAGCACCTGCATCTTTTCCTTCTTTTGGCTGTGATATATCAGGCCACTACAATTACATTGACATTCTAATGCCAAGAAAGGTGAATAGAAGGCTAAAGGCATGGCCCATGTGGTAGAGCACCTGTCAAGTAATCACAAGGCCCTGAGTTCAAAACCTCAGTATCACCAAAAAAAAAAAAAAAAGAAAGAAAAAGAATTGAATAGAACTAAGGTCACTTTGAATAACCATTTAACTAAGACTTGGGCACCTGATAAAGACATGTTCTACTTTTGGGCTGCTTCTGCCCTTCACTTGATAGCAAGGATGAAATTCGAAATTTTGATTCTCCTATTACTAAAAATAAACATTTTATTTGTTTTATAGGAACAAGGTCTTAATTAAAAGCCTCCAGTGAGGTTACTATTCCAGAAAAAAGGGAACATCCTTCTCTGATGTCATCTGCTCTTGGAGAGTGGCTTATGGAACTACAGTTATGACCAAGATCTATGGAAATCCAAACGTCTGTGCCCTCACAGATGCCCACCTCACCAAGAAACTACTGGACTTTGTTCAGTCATGCAATTAGCAGTGGCTTCAGAAAGAAGCCAGTGAGGCCACCAAAACTCAATAAGGGCACCTCTGAGTTCACTGTGGCTGTGGACACATAGACCCTGGAAAAACCTGCAGCTCCCACTGCTCTATGAAGACCAGAATATTTATGTGTTCCATGCAGGCCCTGGGGTAGGGCTGTGAGGTCTTCTGTCATCGCCTGTTCTGTCACCATTACACAAGGCTCACAGCTAAAGCAACAGGTCCAGTCCAATCAGCCAGCGGTCCATTGAAAAGCTTAATTGAGGGGTCTGTGCTCCCTGCCACACTCCCACTGTTTCGTGTCTCTGAGTTGTTTCTTATTGTCCATGTTAGCATGTAGTGTTTGCATTTGCTTTCTGTTGTTATAAAACATTGTACCAAATGTGGTTTCTGGGTTTTTATATTGTTTCTGTTTTGTTTTATAGGGTTGCTTTTCCCCTGCATCCCCTTCTACCCTCTTTTTGCCATGCTTTTATTCTGCCTTTGGGAAAATGACCTAGTAGTTAACAGCAGACAGAAGCAGAGTGGTGGCATGAAGAGCCAGGAGAGAGGTCTGGTTCCATCTTTCATCCACAAACTCCCTAGTGTGCAGGATGGGGTGGGCATAAACACAGGCCACTTTCTCTGTCCCTTGTGCCAGGTATATAGAATCCATGAAGAAGTTAAAATGATCCAGGGCTCTCTAGTGGATTATGTATCATTTGTGTCCTGTGAGATTGTTAGGCTCTTGTTCAAGTGTCATTTAGTAATGTACACCTACTATTTGCTTTTGGTGATGTGATGTGCTGTCCATCCAGCCCCTGCTCCCCTTGTCTTCCTCCTTTGCTCTGAAAAGGAGGAGTTGGAGCGATCTGTCCCGTGTTCTTCAGATAATTTATTTCCATGGCAGAGGGAAGATCTTGCTGTTCAGAGAGAAGAGATTTGCACTCTCGTTTCCCATCTGGATCCTAAAGCCACAGCCATGTAGATAGGTCTATGCCCACAAGTATGTGTAGTGGCGCTGGATGTGAGGTGCGGTAGGAATGATAATGTGTGGGATCTGGCACCAGCCCTCCAGTTTCTCGAGGCTCCAGAGAGTTGTAAATGGTTCCAAGAATAGGTGCTAAAGGCACAGCTGAAGTTGGAGAGCCCGCCAGTTAAGTCACTGCTGGCAGAAGCAAATGGATCTGCATGAAGAAAGCCTATGAGCTCCCCGACAGCAATGAAAAGTGGATGTGAATGTGTCTCCAAGCAGTCCCAGCCAAAGAAGGTGGAGGGGAGGGGACATGGGGAAAAATTTTAAATCCCAATTCACTGAATTGGAACTAATTTATCTAAAAATGTGCCAAGTAAATTTCTACATTTTGGTAAGAGGGGGCTTTTCCAATAAAAACTGAAATTTGGTTATGTACCTGTCCCCTTATGTGATGATGATTATTGATGATTATAATAGAAACTGGAATGTGTCTTGATAAGCTACAATCACTAATAATATCTTTGCCAGAAAGATTGAATGTAGATCTAATCATGAGGAAGCCATCAGTCCTCATATTTGTTGTCTCAGTATAATTATTAAGGTGAGTCTCATACACGTAAGTGTGGCTGTTCTATTTCTGATACTCTTAAATAAGCTTAAATTTCTCTATACAAAATAATAATCCTAGCTACTGAGCAGATCAGGAGGATAATAGTTCAAAGCCAGCCTGGGTACAAGGTATAGGCCTTGAGTTCAAACCTCAGTACCACTAAATCAATCAATCAATAGAATAAAGGTTTAGTCTATCACTTAAGTCAGTTCATCTATCCTTACACAAACTCCCTGCTATACTTCCATTATTATTAAGTGAGTATTGTTTTAGGTGCCAATCTCTTGGGCATATACATACATAAAAAAAAACACAAAGCACCAGCCACAGATGATTACGCCTATAATCCTAGCTACTTAGGATGCTGGGATTGGAAGAATCACAATTAGAGGCCAGCTAAGGGGGGGGGTAGCAAAATGGGCTGGAGATGTGGCTCAAGCAGTAGAGCCCTGAGTCCCACAAAAAAAAAAATCATAGTTACACATTTAAAATGTGTATGTTTTACCATATTTATTATGAATTTTTAAAAAGTTTTGATGTAGGTGATTAGTGTTCTAGTTAAAAGGATTTTTTAGAGAAATGTGTGGAGTATCACATGGTGCTATAGTAAAGTGCAATTTCTTGGTTGTCCAATTAGGGTTATAATATATCTAAACATGGAAATATCACAAAGAAACTCCCTATGTAGCTACCTTTATCTCAAACAAAAATGTCATTTTTTTTTTTTTTTCTTCTACAAAATTAGAATAGGAAGGCAGAACAGGTCCTGCCTGGGGCGGGGAGAGGAGTTGGTACCACTGGGAGGGGGAGGTAGCAGGGAAAGGGTGCAAATACTGCATACACATGTATGTAAAGGCAAAAAATTATACCTGTTGAAACTACTACAAGAACTGGGGTAAGGGGGAGATAAAAGAGAGTAGTGGAGGGAGTGAATTCAAGCACAATATATTTGATACATTTTAAGAACTTTTGTAAATGTCACAATGTACCTCCACACAGCACAATGATAAAAAAAAATTCTTGGTTGTGAAAACTTGTGGATATATAGAATATATGTATATAAGTGCAGAGAGAATATTGCAGAAATATTAGCAATTGATTAATGAGATACAAAGTATGTACAGGTAGCCCAAGTTTTGATTTGAACATTTTAAAAGTTTGAGAAAAATTTGGTTGACTATATGACAAGATCTACTAGAAATGCAAATCCATCAAATCCCATGCACTGGCATAGACATTCCCACTCATTTGATCCAGAGGAAAAGCCAGAGTTCTGTTTCCTTCCCATCCCATGTCATCCATGCACAGTGCAGACCAGGCACAGGGCCTGGATTGAACTGTATATGGGATAGGTTTACTTTTCCTCCTCTTTATCTATACAGTCAGTGTAAGACCACAACCTGTGATAAGCACCAGGAGGCAAGCCAGAGTTCTTGTGGTGACTTCCAAGGCTTTTCCTAAAGTGTGTGATCTTTTTCCCCTTATCTCTTGACCTTCCAACTATGCTGCCCTTCCCTTTCTGAACCTGTCAAACGTCCTCCCACCCTAGGTAGGGCCTTACTTGGCTGGAATGCTTGTCTGTCTTCAAATGTCACCTTGCCAGAGAGGTGTACCCTACCTTTTGTAATCATAAGCTATTTCTCAACCTCTACTGGCTCTGTTCAGCCTTTATACTCCTTCACTTTCTGTTTTCTTATAACGTCCATCTCCTCTAACATAATATGTAATTTTGTCCTAATTATCTTCTACTAGCAGTATAAAGGGATTCTGTGTATTATGCACTGAGGTATCACAATCTTCTTTTGAGGCTTTTTTTTTTCTTTGTTGGCAGTACTGGGGTTTGAACTCAGGGCCTCATGCTTGCTAAGCAGGTGCTCTACCACTTGAGCCATGCCCCAGCCCAGTTTTTGTGTTGGATTTCTTTCAAGATAAGGTCTTGAACTAAATTATTTGCCTGGCCTGACTTCCAACCATGATCAACCTGATCTCTGTCTCCTGAGTAGGTAGGATTACATGCATGAGGCATCAAAACCCATCGGCTTGTCTGTTTTTGTTCTTTTTTTTTTCCAGGACTTTGTGCATGCTAGGCAAACACTACCACTGAGCCATATACCCAGCCTAGTGTTGACAGCCTGGAACAGAGACCGACACAGAGTTGGTGTTTAATCAGTGTGTGTTCAATGGATGATGAAAAATGTTCCAAAAGCATTTAGAAGATAGGTTATAAGATGGGATTCTGAACTGACTCATTTGCCTTCCAGGGAACACCAAATACACCACTGTGAGTGCTATGAGGGGCATAGGCAGTTCCTGGCATACAATATGATCCAGTCACTGAAGACTTCCATGGAAGTGATCTGGAAAAATGTCCTGATAGTGAGGAATGTTCTCACATGTGCAACAGTTCAGGCATTTTGGAAAGTATAAGTGTAAAAGCATCTACAAAGACAGTGAGTTGGCTGTTTACTAAGTTCTGTTGATGTCCCTGGACAGAATAGTGAAAAACTCACATTGAAAATGTGAGTTGTGACCCAGTTATCAGGGCTCCTAGCTACTGAGGAGGCAGAGATCAGGAAGACTGCATTGCGGTTTGAGGCCAGTCCAGGAAAATATTTCACAAGACCTTATCTCGAAAATACCAAACACAAAACTTGGACTGATGGAGTGGCTCAAGTGATAGAATGCCTGCCTAACTAGCATGAGGTCCTGAGTTCAAACCCCAGTACTACCAAATAAAATAAATAAATGCGGAAAAAAGTGTGAATTGTGAGAACCAGAATCTTTAGTTACTAACAGAGAGTCCACATTGTATGTCTTTAGAGGAATGAGCACAGCTGAACAGCAAACAGAATTTCTTTTTGTTTTTTTTTCAGTGCTGGGGCTCTACCAGCCCTTTTTTGTGATGGATTTTTTCGAGATAGGATCTTGTGAACTATTTGCTAGGGCTGGCTTCCAACCGTGATCCTCCTGATCTCTGCCTCCTGAGTGGCTAGGATTATAGGTATGAGCTACTGGCACCCACCTAGCAGCAAACAGTATTTACTAGAGATGTTTAAAGTTGCAAGGCTATGGAGTTCTAAATTTTCAGCAAACACAGGTCTGCTACACTAAAGTCAGTAATCTGATCAGGAAAATCCAGAACCCTGAAACATGGAGTGAGGACATTAGATGGATGCCCCTGAGAGTGTTGGCTTGCTGTGGGGACTGCTGTTAGTGGTTCACATTTCTCTAGCAAGAGCTGGCATTCCTCTGTACTGGAAGATGCTATACAGTCCCCTCCTCTCAAGACAACAGATGCTACTCACAAAAACTCCTTCCAACTCCTCTTTCAGCCTAGGCCAATATCTTAGAATTAAATTCCAGTGGAGGAAGTTATGGGCTGTCAAGAGAGGAAAGAAAATATTCTCCAAAGGAGTGGCAGACTTTGGCCAGTATGTACTGGTTGAATTTAGAGAGGAATCCCCAATAGATTTTGAGAACAGTTGTTAAGGTGCTAGAATATAATGAATAAATAAGAATTCATCCTGTTGGGATGCTTGCTCCTGGCACAGGATATAACATCCTAGCAAGGATTCCAGAAGATGGGACAAATTCTGTTAGGATGACTCTTAGATGCCCAAAGTGACAGCCAATACTGAGTCAAGTAGAATCACCCAAGTTGTCATGGCAGAGACTCAAGGAAGGAATAAGTAGCCTGTGGACGTGGACATGTTATGGGAGATCACACAACCACAAGTCGGGCTGTTCCTAGGGAGGGCACATGGACCCAGTGTTCAGAAAGGCCACCAGGAATGTGCTGGAGAGGTGCACCAGCATTGTTGAGTAGGTCCTCTGTTAGACAGGGCTGATGATAGATAAGACTGTCGTAGAGTTGGGTTGTAATGTCATTTGGGGGATGATGGACCCTGAAGTAATAACCCAGGAGATGGGTTAACCATCTCCCTGAAAGTCAGGAGGCTGCAATTATCAGGAAAACTGGAGGGCAGTTAAAGGACCTTAACCCATGAGGGGTGATGGAGATGGTTAACAGAGCATGGTGTCTCTAGGGGTTTCAAAATAGATGAGCAGTCACAGGACACTGCTTAACATCTACAAGCAAAAGAAGGCAAGGACTGAGGAGCGGGAGGCTGAGAGCAGTCATCCTAACAAAAAGTCATATCATGCTAGGTGTGGTGGTGCAGATCTGAATGCACTGAGCACTCAGGAGGCTGAGGCAGAAGGATAGTGAGTTCCTGCCAGCCTGCCCTACACAGAAAGACCCTGCCTGCTGGGTACCAGTGGCTCACACCTGTAATCCTAACTACTTGGGAGGCAGAGATCAGGAGGATCACATTTCTAAGCCAGGCTGGGAAAACTCTTTGTGAGACCCTGTCTCAAAAATATCCTGTCTAGCAAGTATGAGGCCTTGAGTTCAAACCCCAGTACCACCAAAACAAAAGGAGACAGAAAAAGGATTCTCTATCTAGCCTAGCCTAGGTTGACCTCAAACTCACTATTGGTGCAGGTTGACCTTGAGCTCAATCCTATCTGTGCCAGCCTCAAGTGCTAAAATAGCTAGCATGCACCACCAAGCTGGCTTTCAAATCAGATTTTTTTTTTCTTTTGGTGGTACTAGAGATTGAACTCAGGGTCCTGTACTTGCTATGCTTACCACCTTCAAACAGATTTTAAAAAAAAATGAGAAGAGAAAAATATATGAAATAATTAGAGTTTTGAATATTGCTGAACATAAAAATTGAATAAATTAATAATAATAAATAATTATTTTTATTTTTAGATATGAAAAAGGTATTGTAGTTATGGTAGGGGGAAAAAACCTTTTTTTTCCCTAAGCCTATAAATGAAATAGGAGATCTAGCATTTTTTTCAAAATCACTTGAGGTAGGAGGAATGGGTAGAGGTTCAGATGAAACCAGATTGGCTGAAAGTCAATAAATAACTGAAACTGTTCTATGACAAAGAGATGGGACTTCATGATATTATTGCTTTGTTTTCTACACTCTTGGGTTTTCCCACAAAATGCCATTCTTACAATGCAGAGAGAAAATAAACAGGAAAACAAACAAAATACTTACATTGTTACAAATGATAAGAAGTGAAGAAAATATGTTAATGAAACTTCCAGGTTGTCCCTGGAAGTCCAGTCCCAACCTCAGACACTAGGATCACCTCAGGCCACCATTTGGTCTCTGTAAATCACCCAGACAAAGCAGAGGGTCACACCCAAGGTAGGTGGGGTACTTTCTTGCTGAGTCTTTTAGGACTATATTCATTTTCTATCCTGGAAGGGAGGATTCGCGATTTCAAGCTTTATCTACCATAATCTTCCTATCTCCGAAGCTGTTTGGTCAAATCCCGATATTATACAATGCATGTGGACTTTGGGAGCACAAGAATCACCTGGAGGGCTTGGGGAAGCTCGGATTCCCGCGACCCACCCTGGAAGGACTGATTTAAGACGACTAAGGTAGGGCCTTATAATTTAGAGCTGAAGCTGAGCCTTTGCATATATTTCAGCTATATTGTATTACTAAATTAAATTGACCTTAGCCCACTCGGTTCTAAAACTAATGGATGAAATCAGTTTCGTCCACCGTGAGCATACTGAACTCCGGGCTGCAAAGTTGTACGTGAGTGACAGTTCCTTTCAGTAGCACCAGCGCCTAGGATGACCTTGAAAGCAGCTGCTTCACGCGCTGCGTGAGGCCTCCAAGGTCAAGCGTCAGCAACCCCAAGTGCTCACCGTTCCTTCTGCGCAGTTCCTTATTCCAGCACTCGCCTTTGTGTTTTGGCTCTGCTCCTATTCTGAACAGCCCAACCTTTCCCTTCCCAATATTATTCAGGCTACATATTTGTGTTTAGAACTAAACCCTCCCAATTCAAATATAGTGCTCGAAACATCCATGGGCACAAATCAATTACAAAAAATTTCCCAAAAGTCTTCTGAATGACTTTTCTATTCATAGTAAATCCTTTATTCTAGCACCAAATATTGTCTTAGAACCACTCTAAAATAATTCATTCCTTTATTTGGAACTTATCAGCAACAATTTGCTAGTTTTCTCCCAAGTCATACCTTAAAGGAATAAAGGCAAAAATCTAATTTCTTAAAAAAGATATTTGGAATTACACTAATTACTTAATAATTAGTTACTAGTGGGCAAGACAGGGTCCTGAGGCTGATTATCTCATCGTCAAAATTACCACGTTGTGAAAAGAGGAGGAGGGGAAGCAGCTCCCGGTAACCGGAAGTGGAAGGAGACATTTGCCTATAAAAGGAGAAGTGAGGAACCTGCAGTTTCGAAGCAGTGAACTGCAGGTGGCTTTAGCATTGCTGGGCAGTCCTGAAAATGTCAGATTCCCACAGTGTCGGCGAGGAGAACGTAAGTTCTGTTTCTAATAGAATTAATTCTCTCATAGAGTCGCTTTTCAAAGTCTTCTAGCTCTCACTTCTATTTCCTTTTCGCAGGGGATCAGTTTCTGGCCCTTCTCCTCTTTGCTAGTGACGCGCTGTATGTGTTTAGGTGAGCGTAAAAATAAATAGTTTCCTACTCCTAGTCCAAAGGAAAGTATTTACTTTGTAGGAAACAAGTGCTGTAGCTGGGCAGGCCAGGAATGGTGAAGACATGGAGAGTTAAGACTGGAAAAAAAAAAAAGGGAGAAATGGGTAATTTTTGGATTTTTTTTCCTCTAGGAGTAAGAATTATACACCTTCCAACACCCTTGATAACAGATGGATTTCTAGACTAGGCTTGAGATAACCCGGACAGGAGAAACTAAACTAAGAAAATATTAGTGGCTGGCAGAGTGGTTCAAGCTGTAAGAGCACCTGCCTAGCAAGCCTGAGGCCCTGAGTGAGGCCCTGAGTTCAAACCCCAGTACTGCAAAAAAAAAAAAAAAAAAAGGTCACTGAACCTGGACAGAGGACTACTGAATTGACCTAGTTAGCTACAGTCTGGAGTAATGTTCTACAAACTTTTTTTTTAAATTGTTGTTGTTTAAGTGAATCTGTGGGGAGTACTTTGAAACAGTGAATACAAATGCAAAATTCACTAATTGCTAGCCAAGAGTTTGGGAGTAGGGAAGCCATTGAAGAGATTTAAATAGTGGAAGGGGAGGAGCCTCAGGTCTGTGAGAGAGCTACAATAGCAATGGGAGGGAGATTTACTCTCCTTTGGTTTCAGAGGAAAAGCTTTGATCTGGGCAGTACTCAAGGACGAATTACTCTATGTCATTTTTTATTTAATTTCCGAGATCTGCCTTATCATTTGTAAAACAGAAGCTAATAAATTGCTACAAAGTATACCATGAAGATTAAGTAGGAGAAATACAGAAACATTCATAACAGTTTGTCCTTGTACTGGTGAAAACCAGTAAATGTTTTTTCCTACTCCTATGTTTTTCCACCCTTTCCCTCATTCATTGGGCCATTAAAACAACAGTGATGGTAAATTATCATTGAATGCCTGCTTGGTGTCAGGCTCTGTGTGGTTACTGTGAATGTAACAGAGTAAAACAGATACTTTCATTCTGGCTCCTCTGTTCAGGAACTTGTAGGCTACACAAATTTTAGGCTGCCTTTGAGTTTGTCTTTACCCTGAATAGCAATGACAAGCCATTGAAGACTGTTCCAGAAACAGGAGAGCAATCTGCAGAGTGAAGAAGTCAATGGGTTCTGGAATAACTGGAGTTACTGCTTGTGTGGAAGAGAGTGGATGAAATAGCTTGAATGGAAAATCTTATGATAGAAGATGTAAAGGCGAGAATGCTTCCATATAGATTTAAGAGATAAATGAAAGGATTTGATGGTGTAGTTCATGGTGAGGGAAGGACAGGGGATATCCTCCAAACCCAAGTCCATATTCTATTTTCTCTTTCTTTGTCCACTTATAACTTGGCTTTTGCTCATTTTCTTATCTAATAAAATTTCTGCTAATCGACATCACACTCATAAATCTCAGTAACTCTTGTCTGTCAACCTCTGTGTGTCCTTGCTTTCTTAGTCATTAGTTGTGAGTTGAAAGTAAGCAATTTCAAATGAAAATCAGTGACTGACACTTCTCCTTGCAGAATTCAGTTGTGGAAGGGTTAGAAGAGGAAAATGTGGTTTTTACACTTGTTCCAGTCATAGAGGAGCTGAACCAAGAACATCTAATGGAACCCAGTGTTTCTTCATCAGCAGATATCAAACATGCAGGTATCGAGCCTAAAAAGGCTGGGAAAAGCAATAAAGGTCTGACAGGGATTGCTCAGTTAGCAGCTTTGGAAAGTGAGGAAAAGTAAGTTTTTTTTTCTTCCCTATTGTCTATGCAACATTCATCTTAAATCTCACCTCTATTGCCTGTGGTAAGAGCTTTCTCAGACATTTTTGCTAAGCCCCACATACTGCCTTTTAAGATGCAAAACTTATAGGGCATGAATTCAAATCCCTTCTATAAAAATGAGGTTAAGTGGCTAGGGATGTAACTCAGTGGTCAAATGCTTGCCTCCTATGCAGGAGTCCTTGGGTTCCATCCTCAACACTTAAAGTTAATAATACTTGCCTTGCATAAAGTTTAAATAATTTGGAAAACATCCAGTATTTTGCTTGGTGAGTAACTACTGGTAAATATCTAGCAGCTTTTAAAATCGTGACCTCTCGTACATTTCTTAGTGCTTCATAGAAAGGCATCAAATATCTCCTGAATGATTTTATTTTCTGGGTCAAAAATGGGCTTCAAGATGAATAAGAATTAAGCAGAGTGAGATAAGATGGTGGTACAGAGAAAATGTGGTGGGCTAACACAATTGTGACACAGTGTTGATTGAGGTAGAGTTTAGAGGTGGTTTCTTTGATTTCTGTATAGACAACTAATACTTTGTAGTTACTATCTGGTTCAAAACCTAGATATTTTCGAGAAAAAAATCCAATATAATCTTCTATCCAGATGGTTGTTCAAGTCTGCAAATAGCCATGCTGGTATATGTAGTATATAAAACACGGAATTTAGAATCAAGGTGTAGGATTGAGTATCAGGTCTGCTATTTATAGCTCTGGTCAGGTCTTGGGTAAGTCCTTTACTTCCTGAATCTGTTGTCATATGAAAAAAATTGATATGTATATGTGCAAACTAGTTTGTGAAAAATGTGAGAAAATCTTAAAATAATCATACAAATATTAAATTATTACGACTATGGTTCTATTCTTTTTACAGTTTACTTTCCAGAAACAAATAAACAATTCAAAGCATGCCCCAAACCTCAGAATAATAAACCATTCCTTCCCCTGCCGACTATTTTGCCTCCAATTAATGAGGTGTCTCGGAACACTCTGAGGAACTGGTGCCAGCAATTTAACTTGAGTACCGATGGCCAGGTTAGTGCACTGGTGGGAATAGTTGATGCTTGAAAGAAGTATGGGAACCTTTGTCAATTTTTAACTTTTATTTCCCTTTAATTTCCTTAGAAAATAGAGGTTTACGTGAGACTCCAGAAACATGCATATCCTGAACAGAAATATGTGAGTAATGAGTGCAGGCTGCCATTGTGGGCTCTCATTCCTTTATGTGTTCTACCTTTCGTGTGTGTGTGTGTGTGTGTGTGTGTGTGTGTGTGTGTGTGTGTGTGATACTGGGATTTGAACTCACAGCCTACACCTTGAGACCACTCTGATAGACTTTATTTTTTTTTAATCTTCCCAGACTTTTAAAGCTCATTTGATTTTTATTGTAATGTGACATTTTAAGTTACAGTATACTAAAACCAAAGTTGACTGAATTATGGCTTTTTCTATACCATGCAACTCTCCTATAGCTAAAATATTACAATATAAATTCAGTGAACACTTTCTATTTCCAACAGCCTGAGAGATGAATTCAGCTTTTTAAAAATCAATTAAATTAAACCACACCAGCCCTTTTTTGTGATTTTTTTTTTTTTTTTTGAGGTAGGGTCTCCAACTGTTTGCCTGGGCTGGCTTCGAGCCATGATCTTCCTGATCTCTAGAGACCTCCTGAGTCGCTAGGATTACAGGTGCAAGCCGCTAGCGCTGGCTAGTACCTTTAAGTCAGGGTTTCTCAACTGTAGTTGTTGACATTTGGGAGCCAAATAATGTTTTGTATGTTGGAGGCTGCCCTGTACATTGCAGGATGTTTAGAAACCGCCTTTACCTCTGCCCACTAGAAGGCAATAGGAACACCTCCTTCCCCCCACCCAGTTATTTGTCCTTGTTTACTTTTGTTTTCAAGGCAGGGTCTCTCTTTGTAACCCAGGCTGGCCTGGAACTTATTATGTAGCCCCGGCTGGTCTCAAACTCATGGTCCTCCTGCCTCAGCCTCCTGAGTGCTGAGATTCCATACAGTTTTATGGAATCTCAAAAATTTCTCCCAGTTGAGAACCACTACTCCTAATCCTCCCCACACTGACATACACATTCAGGTCAGTATAAAGAATGATAAAATTCACACAAAAGTCCTTGACAAAAAGCATATTTGAACACTGATTATGAATTTCATTTGCAGGATATTCCTCAAACATCACTGGAAGCCAGATTGCACCCTGGTACAAGGAAACGCAAGGGAATACAGCTTCAGAAAACTAGGAGAGAGACGTCTAAGAGAAAGGAGACTAACACAGTTGAAGTGATCACTTCCGCTCAGGAGTCCATGTTGGCATCTTGGGCGAGAATTGCTGCAAGAGCTACCCAGCCCCAGGTTATGGATTTTCATTTCTCTCCTACTTCCATGGAGGCCTTTTTGCTCCAAGCCTCTGGTAAGATCAACCTTAAAAGTATGAATGTTATTCTAGAGAAATAGGCTTACCATTTATTACTACAAGGCTGAAAGATAAAAGAGAAGTATCTGTTCATTCGAAATTGCATTCACTAGTCGTTATCTCTTCCACTGCTGATGATTAGCGAAGTTTTGATTGGGTGGATCTCTAAGCCAAGTGATTGGCTGGTGAAACCTTTCTCATCACCAAACAGAACACCAAAGTGGGAAGAAAACATAATCTAATACTGTGGTTGCCTGTGGCCTGACTGAGGTCTCTTTTTATTCTTTTTTTTTTGTGGTACTGGGGCTGGAACTCAGAGCCTATGCCTTGAGCCACTCCCAACAGCAGTTTTTTGTAATGGGTATCTTCAAAATAAAGTCTTGAGAACTATTTGCCAGGGCTGGCTTTGAACTGCGATCTTCCTCATCTGTGCCTCCTGAGTAGCTATGATTGCAGGTGTGAGCCTCCAGTGCCCGGCTTCTTCCTTATACTTTTAAGCAAAGACTCATGCCTGTTTTCTATAGGTGAAGCAGTCCATTGCAGTGGTTAAGCAAATAAGGTATAGCTCAGGATACCTGTAAGACTCATGCCTGTTTTCTATAGGTGAAGCAGTCCATTGCAGTGGTTAAGCAAATAAGGTATAGCTCAGGATACCTGTATCCCTGTCTTGGCACTGGGAGAGGTAATATTTAATGCCATAAGCTGCAGTTAGCACTCCTGTTAGAAGAGCAGAAGGATGAATGTGTAGCTCAGTAGGAGAGCTCTTATCTGACGTGCATGCATGAGGGCCTGGGTTCAAACCTTATCACTGGGAAAAAAAGGGAAAGATAATAGAAAATGAATATTAATATAATTAAAAGTAAATATATTAAGCTAGGTTTCTGGCACATGCCATGATCCTAGCACTCAGGAGGCAGAGGCAGGAGGCTCTAGAGTTTAAGGTCAGCCTGGGCTACATAACAAGTCCATGGCTAACCTGAGCTACATGACATGACTCTCAAAATGCTAAGGACTATGAGGGCTGGTAGAGTGGCTAAAGTGATAGAGTGCCTGCCTAGCAAGCATGAGGCCTGAGTTCAAACCCCATGCCACCAAAAAAACCTAAGAACTATGAATATAACAGTGGTAGAGCACTTATAAGATAGGTCTTGGATTCAATCTCCAGCACTGCAAAAAAAAAAAAAAAAGTATTCATACATGTAAATGACTTAACAAAATCTAGCATTCCAAAAAGGTAGCTTATTTGCTTGTGATATGTTATTTGTGAATTAGACTATAGTGACTTTTGGTGTATGTTTGTTTCACACATTTTATTTGATCTGTGAGCAGAATACAAGACAGTAACATCAAGAGTGACTTTCTAAGAGGTTGTGTTAGATGGTTATCTTGACCCCCGTTGCTTATATTTGCTTCTCTTTCCCCATCTTCAGGTGTCAGGTGGTGTGTGGTCCATGGCAGACTTCTCTCTGCAGATGTAGCAGGGTGGGTTCGTCTGCAGTTTCATGCAGGGCAGACTTGGGTTCCTGACACACACAAGACAATGATTTCTCTCTTCCTATTACCAGCCTGTGTTTTTCCATCCCTGGCATTCGAAGATAATATGTTGTGCCCTCAATGTGTTATAAGGTAAACCTTAAGTATTTTTCTAAGCGCAGAAGATAGAAAAGGAGATATGTAGGTGTATTTTTGAATAATTTAATAGAAAATAGAGGGCAAACATACTGTTTCCTTAATTTGCTGAAAATAACTTAGAATTCAGATAAATTGGCTTTAACAAAATATGTGAGAAGTCAGGACCTTATCTTGCCCTCAATTTTAGGAATCTGTTCTAAGGAAAGAACATTGAGTTCCTATTACATGTCAGATACTCACTTGGGGATTCAAAAAATAGTGAGAAATCGAGAAAGCCGTGGTGACTGAACCATCTGGAGCATGATGCAGAATCACACACTAAGGCACTAGAGAAGCTGTGACTGTCACCACCATTTTTCAGTGACCCAATTCTCTGACTTGGCTATTCCTCCTGCCACCTTAAAGTTGTAATCCATGGTTTCCAGGGATTCAGCAAGAATGGAAGAGATGGGTGATAGATGAAACACAGGAAATAAGGGTGGCAAACCCATCCTATATGATACTACAATGGTGACAGAGCCGTATAACAGAGTAAACCTTAATGTAAACTATGAAGTTTAGTTTATAAAGATCAATATTGGTACAATTTTTTTTTAAAATCCAAAATTGGTGAGAAAATTTATGTAGCATACTCAAGGCAAATAAAAGTAGCTGTGACAATATGTGAGTATGTTGTAGTGGCTTATGGGAACCTTCAGAAGAGGTCACATGCACTGAGAATGAACTTACCAACAGGAAAGTAATAACTTGGGCCTTTTTGTTGTGGAAATACCTAGTACAAACATATGGAAATAAGAGAATATGACATACTTAGAAACTGCAAGTAGGGCTATATGGTTGATGTTCATATTGACAGGTGGGTCTAGGGAGGGGGCAGCAGACCAGGAAAGATATATGTTATGTATTATCCAAGAAGTCCCTATTTCTCACTCACTTCTCTTAGAGTTTAATGATGGCTATAGAGCCACCAATAAATATCCATTGTACTTAGAAACACTGCTTAGGTTTTATAAAAAACATAGAACTAATGGCTGTCTATGAGTACAGACTCCATCTTTGTGTTGTTTGAAACCAATTGTAATAAACAGAACATGAGCCCTGAAAATAAATGGGCAGTCCTGACCACATAAGGGCTTTTTACTTCCTGTCCATAGGTGTTAGCAAGAAGCTCAGTAACTCTAGAGGTAGATTCCTTATTTTATCAGTCATTTCCAAGAGGTTTGTGTGAATTGTTATCTTATTCTAGCATTTTAAACTATTATTTTCTAACTTATCTTATAGGAATAAGAAGATTATGAAAAAATTAATTGTAAAGGAAAAGAAAAAACAACACATTGTAGAAGACCAGAATATGTCATTCCAAAATATGCCACCTTAAATAATGTTAAAGTGATATTTTGATCTTAAGGAAATGAAAAGCAAACAAAAGCTTTCTGCCTTCTCACATTGGCCAAAACAAAACAGGACACAGAAGTCCCTTCTTCCCTGTCTACCAGGACAAATGGTGGAGAGCTTATAGATACACCCATGTACTGATAATTGCTGTGCTCTGTCTTAACCATCCTCACTGTCTTCTAATGCCTTGAGTCTGACTTAGTAAGTATTTAGCTGTATAGAAAATGATGATTATTTTAATCAATAGATTTTTTTTGAAGCAATTTCAAGTTTACAGAAAAATTGAACAGAAAGTAGAATTTCCATATACTGCCCTCCCCTCAAGATTCTTCTCTTCTTAAACTCTTATGTTACTTACGTTACTGCCGCGCATTTCTTATAATCAATGAGTCAATACTGACACATTGACTAAGGTCTTCAGTTTAGTCTGGCATGGTGATGTGCAGCTGCAATCCCAATGCTTAGGAGGGGGGTGTAGAAGGATCCTGACTTGCAGGCCAGCCTGGGCTGCATAGTGAGATCCTTGTCTCAAAAATAAAGAAAAAAATGTTTATAGTTTACTGTCCCCATAGCTTTGTCTTTTCTAGAGTGCCATCCATTTGGGATCATACAGCATGTAGCCTTTCAGATTGACTTTTCCCCAGCAACATGCACTTATTTTTCATGTTCTTTCATAAATTTCTGTTTAGTGCTAAATAATACTGTGCTGGCAAGATGTGCCACAGTTTGTGTTCATTCAGGTACTGAAAGACCCTGGCTGCTTCCAAGTGTTGGCAATTTCACTGGGGCTTGAACTCAGGACCTACACCCTGAGCTACTCCACTAGCCCTTTTTTTGTGATAGTTTTTTTCGAGATAGGGTCTCGTGAATTATTTGCCCGGGCTGGCTTCAATTGTGACCCTCCGATCTCTGCCTCTTGAGTAGCAGGATTACAGTCATGTGCCACCAGCACCCGGTGGCAATTTCATTTTTATTTTGCTTATCTTTTTGTTTTGGCTTTTGAGATACTCTTAGTATGTAGCACACTGGCTTCAAACTCATAATCCTCCTGCCTTAGCCTCCCCAATGCTGGGATTACAGGTGTGAGCCACCATTTTTGTTATTCTCTGGCAATTATGAATAAAGCTGCTATAAACATAGCAATTTTGAGAGGTCACACAAACTCCCAACATGTTTGAGTGAATGGCAGGAAGATGTTGCTGGATCATATGGTAAAATCACGTTTAGCTTGTATAACAGTAAACTCTTCCAAAGTGGCAGTAGCAATGCATGGGTTCTCGTCAGCATTTGCCTTTGTCGGTGTTTGGGACTTTAAGATATAGTGGTGTCATTGTTGTAAATTGTAATTTCCTAATGACATGAAGTTGAATACTGCTTTTCATATGCTTATTTGCCACCTATATCTTTTATTTTCGGTACTAGGGACTGAACTGAGGCCTTTGCACTTGCTAGTGCTCTTTCACTGAGCTAAATTCCCAACCCTACTGTCTATCTTCTTTTTTTGTGGTACAGAGACTTGAACTCAGGGTCTCACAATTGCTGGGCAGACACTCTACCACTTGAGCCACTCTCAATGGCCCCCCACCATCTGTATCTTTTAATGAAGTGATGAAGTGTCTATTCAGTCTTTTGCACATTTTTAAATTAAAACAATGAGATTAGGAGATGTTGAGTGAATTTCAACTGGTCTTTTTGTATAGCGCATAGCAGTCCTTTATCAGATAAATCTTTTGCAATTTTTTTTTTTCATTTTTTGTTGGGACTGGGGTTTAAACTCAGGATTTTGTGCTTGCAAAGCAAGCACTACCGTTTGAACCACACATCCGGTCCATTTTGCTCTGGCTATTTTTTTTGGAGATGGAGTCTCACAAACTGTTTGCCCAGATGTCTTTGACCTCCCAAGTAACAAGGATTACAGGTGTGAGCCACCAGCACCCAGCTCTTTTGGAATTTAAAAAGAAATAATTGTGGTGCTGGGGCTCAAACCAGGACCTCACCCACACTAGACAAGAACTGTACCACTGACTTACATCCCCAACCCCTCATTTCCTTCTCAATGTCTCCCAGTCTTCCTGGCTTGCATGGTTTCAGAAGAGTAGTCCAATGTAATCATCCTTGCTCTTTAGTTTGAAGATGGGTTTTCCTCCAACTTCAAGATTTTTTCTTCATTTTTGATTTCCTACAGTTTGAATGTAATATGCTCAAGGTGTGTGTGTGTGTGTGTGTGTGTGTGTGTGTATGCTCTTTTATTTTTTTTCAATGTAATGCAAGTCACAAAATAGTAATAAACTAGCTTGGGCATCAGTGACTCATACCTGTAATCCTAGCTGCTCTGGAGGCCCAAGCAAATAGTTCTTGAAACCCTTTCTTGAAAAAAATCCATCTGTTACCCATCTGTTCTTGTATCTTCACTTTTTTCATCAGAACCCTTAGCATATTAATCAAAGTTATATTAAATTCTTGGTCTGATAATTTCAAATTTGTCAGTTTGTTTTTTGTTGTAGTTTGTTTTGGCCATATTGGGGTTTGAACTAAGGGCCTCATGTTTACTAGGCAGGAGCTCTACCACTTGAACCATGCTGCCAATCCTTTTGTGTTGGGTGTTTTTTTTAAGAAACAGGGCCTTATTGTGTTGCCCAGGTTGGCTTTGAACTCCTTGGGTCCAAGCCATCCTTCTGCCTCAACTTCCCAAGTAGATACAGGTGCATACACACTACTGCATCCAACTCCAGCTCTTCTTTAAATAAAACATAATTCTAAAACCAGGTGGTTTTGTTTTCTAAGATCACAAAACAGTACAATTTAAGCAAAACTTTTTTACTACCACCGAGTGCTGGTGGCTCACACCTATAATCCTAACTACTTGGGAGACAGAGATTGGAAGGATCACCCACCATTCAAGACCAGTTTGGGCAAAAAAGTTTGCAAGACCCAATCTCCCAAATAACCAGAGCAAAAGGACTGGAGGTGTGGCTCAAGTGGTAGAGTCCTGCTTTGCAAGTACAAAGCTCTGAGTTCAAACCCCAGTCCCACCAAAAAAAAAAATTATATATATAAAACCAAGTGACAAAAGTGAGTTGTTACTGAAAACACAACAAATGTTCTTTAGTGATAATTTCTCATATAATAAGAATTCTCAATTTGAATTCACTTTGGCAATATCTCAAAACTTGCATAATTTCAAAACCTGATGAATGGTTTTCTACAGAGCTTTGTCAAGTAACTATAAATGCTTAGACCTTGGACTCTAGGCAAAAAAGCTACAGAGTATCATAATGTGAGATTAAGCTGAATCTTAACTGTACAGCTTCTTCATTAACAAAGTCAACGTGTGCAATGCAATGTTCACAAGATTGACAAAAGAACGCTTTTGAGCAACATGTAATAGTGTGAAAAAGCCCAGGAATAAGAAAGCATTTCCTAGCATTTTTTGGGGGAGGAGGGAAGGTTATGAGGACTTGAATCCAGAGTCTCAACCTGCTATGAAAGCTACTCCATCCCTCACGGTGGATGAACTTACCAGGGCACCTCAAACTGACCATTCTCAAGGTCATGTACTGCCAAAGCCCACTTTGAGATGTTCGTAGAATTGGGTCTTTTGTTTCTATGTCACATCTCCCCTACTTTTTATTATGAGAACATTCAAACACAGAACAGTTGGAAACAGTGTAATGAATGCCTGAGGACCCACCCCACCCCCACATGGATTCAGTGAGTGTTGAAATATTTTATATTGGATTTATATTACTACAATACATAATTTTTTTTGCTAGCTCATTTAAAAGTTGTAGAGATCATATTTCACCAAAATGTTTCTGCATGTATGTTGTAAGAATTTTCACATGAGCATAATACAATTTTTACACTTTAGAAAATGATTTATGTCAGGCAGGTGTGGTGTTAAATAGCTATAATTCTAGTACTTGGTAGGTGGAGGCAGGAGAATAGCAAGTTCGAGGCCAGCCTGGGTTACCTGGTAAGACCCTGTCTCTTAAGCAAAACAATGTAGTTTATACAGAATATCTAAAAGCCCAGAACATTTTCAAAGTTTCACAGTTGTCTAAAATTTTTCTGAATAATGTTACACATTCAATAACTAAGGAACAGAAGGGAATTTTCTCAACATGAGTGGCAAAGTTTTTCCCCTGATGCCAGGAGCAAGATAAGGATGCCTGTTTCATACCATGTTGTCCAGGCTGGTCTAAAATTCCTGGGCTCAAGTGACCTTGGATCACCTCTTGAGTTGGGTCTACAATTATGTACCACAGTGCCTGGTTTTAATAAAGATTGTATGGGAGGCTCAAGCAGTAACCTCCTGACCCTGAGTTTAAATCCTAGTCCCACAAAAAAAATAAACAAACAAACAAATAAAACATTCTGGCAATGGTTTGTATTAAGGGAGAATGTACCTGTTTATCATTTCAGTTTTTCTTTTTTGTTTTGGTGGGACTGGGGTTTGAACCCATGACTTTGCAATTGCAAAACAAGTGGTCTGTTGCTTGAAACACACCTGTCCATTTTGCTCTGTTTATTTTGGAGATGGGGTCTTGTGAACTATTTGCCTGAACTGGCCCTGAACCACAATCCTCCTGATCTCAGCCTCCAGAGTAACTAGGATTACAGGCGTGAGCACCCAGCTTCAATTTCTTTGATTATTGGTTTATTCAAGTTTTTATTTATTTTTGTTCTATTTATTTTATCTGATATTTCCAAGGTATCACGGCATTTTTAATTTTTTTGTCTATTGTGTCAATAGCTATTTTCTCTTAGATTCCATGTTGTGGTTTTGAGTTTTCTCGTTTAGTCTTAGCCTTTCCAAAGAACAATGTTCAGGAAGCATTCTTCAGGAAGCTGGCCTTTAGATAGAGGCAGGATTTTGGGGAGAGTTATTTGACATCTAGAGAAAGGAGGGAAGAAAGCAGAATTACCGAAAGGGAGAAGTAAGACTGTTGACAGTCTGGCCAACCATCAAGCAATGTTCTG